TGGGGGGGGGGGGGGAGTCTTTTTTGTTCCTATAGCCCCAGATGGCCTCGAACTCACTATGTAGATAGATCAGGATGGCTTTAAATTCACAGAGATCCCACCTGGGATTAAAAGTGTGCACCACCACACCTGGTGGTTAATTAATTTAATTTTTTTTGTCTGTTTGAAACTGGGTTTCACTCTGTAGTTCAGGTATGTACCACCATGCCTGGAAAAAGTAGCTTATTCACTTTATTTTTTATTTTTTGAGACAGTCTTATGTAGTAGCCTAGACTGGCCTTGAACTCATGCCCCCAACTGCTGGGAAAACTGACACACACCATGCCTGGTAAAAGTATCCTTTTCAAAGACAAGGCAATGATTTTTCTTTTCCAGTGCTGGGGATGGAAGCTAGAGTCTTGAGTATGTAAGGCAAGGGCTCTAATGGTGAGCTACACCTACAGCTTCTTGGCAGTGAGCTAATGGAGGAAAAATGTCTGGGGGAGACTCTGGAATGTTCCACACTTTTAGCTTCTGGTTTGTCAGCATTCCGCTACCTGAGGACAGCAGCCAAGTTATCAGTGAGGAGAAGCTGGAACTAGACACGTGAACCTTCCCGCTGAGGCTGAGACAGCTGCAATGCCATGGAGAGGCCAAATGCCCTCTCTAGTGGCTCCCCAGGCCACATTTCAGATGAGTTTACCCACAACAGATTTTGACTTCTAAACATACCTGGAGGGAGAAGACAACCAGATTTGCTTGTTTGGGGTCTGTTTGTTGATCACGTAGGTCCCTAGGTCTCCACCGAGCTTAATGGTTAGCACACCACCCTAGGGGTCAGAGGAAGAGAGCATGGAGAAAACAGAACAAGCTGAAGTTAGTTAGCACTGTGCCACATTCTTTTGTTTATATCTCAGCACCTTCCATGTATAGGAGGATATAATATACACCATAAAGAGATGTCTTTATGGGGCAGTGTTTGCTTAGCATGTGGGAAGCCCTGGGTTCAATCCTTAGCACCACAATAAAATAAATAAAAAATTTAAAAAGTCTTTAGTGTTTACAAATAGGTGCTCCTGTGGTGAGAACAGCATTCTTGGTGTCAGTAGCTTAAAGATTGATTTTATTTTTATGTGTGTGCTTGTGTGTGTGATGCCCTTGGAGGCCAGAAGATACATCGGATCCCTTGGAGCTGGAGTTATAAGTGTTTGTGAAACTGCCTGATGTATGTGCTGGGGTCTGAATTTGGTCCTCATGATAGAGCAGCCAGTGCTCTTAACTGCTGAGCCATTTCTCCAGCCACTCAGAGTGGGCTAATCATAATAATGCCATATCTCTCCCTGCCTGTGCAGCTGGCAAGGGAGGGTGGTTATGACTTGTCTGAGGTCTAAGGAATGGTATGTGAACCTTCCTCCACCAACCATAACATTAAAAAATGCAGACTGATAGTATTAAGTAGTATTTGTCCAAGCATCAGATTTATAAGTCCATTAAGAAAAAACAGGAAGAAAGAAGGGCATGGTGGTAAAAATCTGTAATCCCAGTACTTGGGAGTCTGAGGTGAGAGCCCATGAGTTTGAGGCCCACATGGGCTGTGCAACCAGTCTGTCTCAAAATCGAAACAAAACAAAAAAAACAGAAAAAGGAGAGAGAAGGAAGCAATCAATGTGCCTGCCTTCCTTGTCTTAGACCAGCAGGTGCTAGCTGAGTTGGTAGCAGCCCTGGCTGGCATGCGCAATTTCCAGACCCTCCCCAGGCACCTGACAAGAGCTCAGAGGCTCTATGAGGCTTTATTTTCCTCTAAAAGAGCCTTGCATTCTCAAAAGATTGGCTGGTCCATCTTTGTCCAATAAATGCACATTTAAATCTGAAAGCACTCCACAAAGGAGCCCCACACTCTTAAGGCCTTAGTCTCTTTAGAATGGCAGGATACAGAAGAAAGGGCCAAGTACTAAGTACACTCTAAAAGTTCCCTGTACTGCAACTGGTAAGCAGGAGGGAGTCTCTAGCCGCCCAGATAGATGCAGGGTGGCCTTTCTGTGAACATGGCAGAGCCCTCAGCCAATCAGAAGCCCTGGGCTGATTCTTACAGCACTCTCTTACAAACACAGCCAGACATTTAAATGCAGCAGGCTGGGAACAATAACATAACTAATAGGCATGGGATGGGGGCACAATAATGCCTCTCTCCTCCCTCCCCCCTCCTGTTCTTCCTCCTTCCCTCCTTCCTTCCCTTTCCTCTCTTTCAGGCTCTCACTAAGGGAGCTCAAGCTGGCCTCAAACTTGTAATCCTTGTGCCTCAACCTCCCAAGAGTTGGGACTACAGGCATGTGACACCATGCCTCATTTTTTTAATAACATTTTTCTTCCGATTAAAAAACAAAACAACATGGAAAAACAGAGACCAAGGCTGCAGTTCAGGTAGTAGAGTGCTTGCGCATGATGTATGAGGTCCTAGATTCCATACCCAGGTACTGCAGGTATGTAATCCCAGATCTCAGGATGTAAAGGAAGATCAGAAGTTCAAGGTCATCCCTGGCTACATCTTGAGTTTGAGGCCAGCCTGGGCTACATGAAACTGTCTGAAAACAAAACAAACAAACAAAAAAAAACGAAACAAACTAAACCAAATCAAAACCAAAGCACCCCCCTCCCCGATAAAATACTGGTAGAGACATTGGGAATGCAGGTAGAATAAGGAAAAAGAGAAGCCAAAAAACATTAACTACTGACTGAACACATCCCAGCAATTGAGAGGCAGAGACAGGCAGATCTCTGTGAGTTTGAGGCTCATCTGTTTGTTCTACATGGCAAGTTCAGAGACACACAGTGAGACCCTGTCTCAAAAATTTTTTTATAAACTACTATTTAATTAGGCCTTAGTCTGTGCCAGGCTATGTGCTTGGACCTATGTGGGAATTTTTTCCAACTAGACTCTAATCATGGAAGTCAGAATCATTATCCCAATTTTACAACTGGTCAAAGTTGCAAATGACAGCAACTGGCATGGTTGATCTTAAATGTAGGCAGGACTGTCTGAGCAAACAAAAAGTTATTCCCTTTACAGGAACTCTCACTCCCATAAGCCCTCACTCTCAGGTGTCAGCTGCTAGTTTATATATATATTTTTCTTTTATCATTGAAAAAACGTTAACATTTAAATTTACCTGTAGCCATTTTTAAGATACACTTCAGTAACATTGAGGACATTCATACTGTTGCTCAACAGATCTCCAAAATGTTCCCACATTGCACAACTGAAACACTACAAGCTTTAGATACTAACCCAGCAGTCTCTCTGCACCCCACTCTTTGTCTCACTCCTACAGTTTCATGGTTTACTCTATAAACTGAGACCCAGGGAAACAACACAATCACCCTGACTTGCCTATGTGTGGTCCCTAAATGTCCCCATGTGTGTTATACCCTCCATGACTAAGGCTGAAGGTCCAGAGGAAGTGCTGAGGCCTGATCAACTCTCAAGATGTGGATTCAAGTACACTCTCATCCTGACCAGTTTGGGCCTCATATACGTCCCATCACTCTGGCCTGGCTCCTGATATCATTCGGTCTCTCCAGGCACTCAGTGCTCAAGGACTCCACATCCACACCTGGTTACCACCAGAGCCAGTGACTAAATCAGAGATAGCCCACATAACCAATGAAACCCCAATCTATTCTTTCCAACCCCAAATCTTTGGAGTGATCCCAGAGTGCATATTAATTAAACAGATGTGTACTTGAAGAACAAAAACAAGCAAATAGAAAACAGACATGGGGGTCCTTCTAGCTCCACGGTGTGCAGGCTGCCCTCTGGTATCTTCCCTGAAGCCTCCTCCTTCCCAATACTGTGACTCCTTTAGCTCCGTGTCCTGTGGAGGTGTCTCTGAGAAGGTTACCTAATGCTCTCAAGTAGGAAGTACCCCTGTGCTTCCAAGGAAACAGGATGGGATGCAAAGTATATTTGTGGATGAATGAACCAGTACCCAAACAGGAACTCGGCATGATCATAGCGTATGGTACTATCTACCAAAGTGAAGAGCAGGGTTGCCACTGGCAGAGATCACAGTCAGATCCTTCCATCAGCCTTACTGTAGATTTTTTTCCCCACACAGATTTTTAGATATTCCAAAGGACAGTGGCAGGGTGGGGGCTGGGGGAGGTGGAGAACCTGCTGTTGTATTGGCCTACTTTGGGAACTGTATGCAAGTAGATTATACAAAGAAGTCTTAATGTTCACTATTGTTATTCCTTAGGCAACCTGAGTCTACTCTAGGAGTGTGGACACATTTAAGTGGGGGGGGGCACATGGGACACACAACTGTACTGGTCAGACATTCCTTGCTATGACAGTCTGAGAAAGCACTGCCTTAAAGGAGAGAAGATATATTGGCTCATGGCTTCAGAGGTCTTAGTTCATGGTTGGATGGCTGTGTTGTTTCTGGGCTGTGGTAAGGCAGAGTACCACAGTGGCAGAAGAGTGTGGTGGAGCAGAGCTGCTTACTTCATGGTGGCCAGGAAATGGGAAGATACCAGGGACAAGGAGCATCTTTCAAGGTATATCCTCAGTGACCCAGGTCCTCCAATCAGGCCTCCCCTTCCAGTCTTCATCACTTCCCATAGTCTCTACCCCCTTCACAGTATCTACCACATTCCTCCACAGTCTCCACTTAACTCCCAATAGTCCATCTAGTCATGACTTCATCATCTAATCAATTCATCAATTAGGTCAGAACCCTAGTGACCCAATCACCTCTCAGTAACACTACCAGCTGGGAATAAGGCCTTCAATACATGAGTCTCTGGGAGACATCCAAATCAAACCATAATAAGGAAATAGTCAAAATATTGATCAACTAACTGCTAAGACACAGTAACTAATCAGAGGACAGCCTGGCACCAACCAACCAATCAGAGCAGGCACTGTGCTAGCTGGCCAGGCTTACTGACTTCTGCTAGTGAAGATCAGCCCTGCTACTGCCAGAACAAAGTTGCAATTACTGTTGTCACCAGGTCATCTGTAAAAATAGACATATGAGATGGCATGTTGAGCTAGGGGATTTCACATGGGACTTCTCATTAAGGAATAAGAATAATCAATATGAAGCACTTTACTACTTTCTTTCCAACTTTAGTTGACAGCTGATTGCCCTACATAATCCTATGATTTAATCCAGAATACACACTTCATGACATTTCTTGGTATTAATTAATTGCTTCCAAGAGGATTAACCTCTGCCTGGATTCGGGGTGGGGTGGGTGTGGGTAAGGAGAGCAGGAGGAGCAATTTTTTTCTTCCAATGGCAAAAAAGAGAGGCTCTGAGGTCCAGTAGACCCTTGCTAGTCTGCCACCTGGTGGCCAGTTCGTAAACCTCACTGGCTTCCAGGATCTGGGGTAAAGTACCATGCAGTTTAGAAGCTCTCAGAGGTATCTTAGAAGGTACGCAAATCAGTTCCTTGCCCAGGAAACACTCCAAGCCAATAAATTAGAACCTCTAGGGGCGGGACTCAGGAACACACATTAGAATCCCGGGTAAGCTTTTCAACAATAATGCTTCTCACGTTAGAAAGGAGCAGCCTGAAGCCCACGTTTGGAGTCTGAGCAAGTCCTGGGCAATTATTCCTGATTTAAAAACCCAGCACTCCAGCTCAGAGCTCCCCAGGCCAGCCTGCCAGCCTGCCACACTGCCACAGGCCTGGGTCTCTCGGATTTACCTTCATAACTATCAGGTGAAGCTTAGTAATCTACTTTAAATTTTTTTTCAGTACTGGGGGTTGAACCCAGGGCATCACCCATGCTAGGTAAGAGCGCTTTCACATTCACCGTCCCACTAGGAATCTTTAATCAGAGTAGGGGCTCAAAGAGGCAGAGAGATTTGCCCAAAGTGAGGCTGGACTGTCACCTGAACTCTAGGGTTTTTTTTTTTTTTTTGGTTCTACCTATAATCTATGCTGCTAGATGGTTACTTATGCAAGCCATTTTTATTTTTAAAAATATTTTTATTTATTATTATTTTTATGTGTATGCATGTATTGCCTGGATGTAGGTAAGTGCACCTGTGTCATGCAATGCCCACGGTGGACAGAAGAGGCTGTCACATCCCCTGGAACTGGAGTTAGGGACAGTTGTTAGCTGCCATGTGGGTGCTGGGATTCGAACCCAGATCTTTTGCAAGAATAGTGTTCTTATTTCATTTTTTAAAAAAGTTTATTTACTTATTTTTGAGATAAAAGTCTCACTATGTAGTCCTTGCTGGTCTATAATTTGTCATGTAGACCAACCTGGTCTTGAACTCACAGAGATCTGCCTGCCTCTCCCTTCCCAGTGCTGGCTTTTAAAATTTATTTTTATTTTAATTTATATGTGTGTGTGTGTGTGTGTGTGTGTGTGTGTGTGTGTGTGTGTGCCACATACATATAGCTGTCTGAGGAAGCCTGAAGAGGGTAGAGCCCCTGGAGCTGGAGTTACAGGTGGTTGTGAGCAACCTGACATGGGTGCTGGGAATAGAACTTGGGTCCTCTGGAAGTGTCCTTAACTGCTGAGTCATCTCTCCGGCCCTTTTATTTTTATTTTAAAAAATTATTTATTACTATTGTGAGTATGTGATGATGATGATGTGTGTGTGTTCATGTGCTGCATGCACTTGGAGGATAAAGGACAACTTTGTAGAGCTGTTTCTTTCCTTCCACCTTTATGTGGGCTCTAGGAATCAAACTCAGATCATCAGACTTGGGAGGCAAGAGCCTTTACCTGCTGAGCCATCTCATCGGCCCTAGTTTTTGTTTTTCCAACAGGATATCACTATGTAGCCCATGCTAAACTGGACCCTCTACATAAACCAGGTATGTGCCACATGCCTGTCTGGAGGGCATTCTTTGTCTCAGTAAGTTACAGTTTGTTATCGATGCATGTGTGTGTTTTTAATTTTAAAAAAAATTATTCTTATGTATATGAGTGTACTACCTGCATGTATGTAAGTGCACTTGTGTCATCCAATGCCCAAGGAGGTCAGAAGACAACATTGTATTCCCTGGAACTGGAGTTACAGACAGTTGTTAGCTGCCATGTGGGTGCTGGGAACCAAACCTGGGTCCTCTTTGAGAGCAGCCAGTGCTCTTAACCGCTGAGTCATCTCTCCAGCCTCAGGTGTGTGTTTTTGTGTGTTTGTTGTTTTGTGTGTTTGTGTTTTGTTTTTGTTTTGTGTTTGTTTTTGTGAGTTTTGTGTTTTTGTGTTTGTTTGTGTCCCTTAGTCTAGGCTGGCTTCCAATTTTCTATGTAGCTGAGGATGACCTTGAACTTCTGATCCTCCTGCCTCCATCTCCACAGTGCTGGGATTATAGGCAAGTGTCATGACATCCAGTTTTATGCAGTGCTAGGGACTGACCCCAAGGCTAGGCAAGTACTCTATCAGCTTGAGCTCCAACTCCAGACTCCTAAGTTACAGTTCTTAAGGAGACAAATGAATTGAAACAAGCTAAGAAGTACCCCAAAGGAGACATCATAGTCCTCCAGTGTGTAGGGCTTGTCAGACAGGTCTTCAAAAAACTCTGCCAGAGCGTCCAGCGTCTCTTCTGCTAGTCTTTCATAAGCTGTCTCATCTAGAGAGCTGCAGGAGAAAACAGACCCACCAGAACACTGTTATCAAAACATACGATAATAATGAATGAATAAAAATTTAGTAACAGAATGCCCTCCAGCAGAAGTAACCATCTAGCAGCACAGACTCAAAAGGTTTACCGGCACAGCCCAGTTCTGCCAGTCCCTCTGCCTCTCTGAGCTTCTTTTCTGGTTAATATCAAGTTCATATGTGCTTTTTTTGTTTTTGTGAGACAAACTATGTAGTCTATCACAGGCTTCAAACTCACCTCAGTCCTCTTGCCTTGCTTCAGCCTCCCGGAGGCCATCATTACAGGCATGAGCCACTATGCCTGGCTTTTTTCATTTGTTTACTTTTCATTTACAGTTTTTAAATTGATGGAAAATATCTACTATGTATAAATTTAAAAAATTAAAATTCCATTAAAGGAGTTAAAGGAAGAAGTAGCCTTTCTTCTAAATGGCCACCATTTCCATAGGTGGTAATATAGTAACTACAACTATAGTCCTGTCTCTACCCAGGAATATTTATATTACTTTAAATATAAAAATGAAGTATCTTGTTTTTCTTTGAGACAAGGTCTTGCTATGTAGTCCAGATTGGCCTTGAGTTTATGATTCTCTTACCTCAGTCTTCCAAGCACCCGAGATCACGGGTGTATGTCACTATATCTAGTTCATTATAATTTATTTCACCTATCTACTTCTGCAAGACACTGAGGTTGTTTTCTTCACTTTTGTTATTAAAACCTCTATTTGGCAAGACACAAAATAGGAAAAAATGTTTGTATTACATGTAACTGAAAATGGACTAATCTGGAATACAAATAAATAACCCTTATAAATCAATAAAAATACCCAACAGATAGGGCTGGAGAGGTGTCTCAGTGGTTAATAACACTGACTGTTCTTGCAGAAGACTGTGGTTTGAATCCCAGCACCCACATGGCAGCTAACACCTGTCCATAACTCCAGTTCCAGGGATCCGACAGCCTCTTCTGTCTTCCGCTGGCACTGCATAACACAGGTGCACTTATCTACACGCAGGCAATACACACATACATATTAAAAAAATAAAATTAAAATAAATAAATAAAAAGAATACCCAACAGAAAAATACTTGTACATATTTCATAAAAGAAAAGATATCCAAATGGCCAGTGAACATGTGAAAAAATGCTGAACTCTGTTAAAGAAAATGTAAATTAAAAAACGAGATCCCTCCTGAAAGAGACGGGAAGAGAGGCAAACAGTTCTTTCAGATATTGCTGACTGGCAGGTGAACTGATTGTTCACTTTGGAAAACTACTGGGCAACATCCAGTGAGGTGGAACACTTTCACAGCCTATGGCCCCTGAAGCCCACTCTTAGGGGTAAGCCCAACAGAAAGGTACACCCAGGCTCACCCAAAGACATGCACTATATTAGCATGTTTGGAGCAAAGCTGTTTCATAGCACCAAACTGCAAACTGCTCACGTACACGTAGGTAATATAGTAGATGAACTGTGGTATATTCACACAATGGAACACTACCTAGAAAATAGAATTGTCTACTTGACTCTGAGAACAATATGGACGAATGTCACAACTGGAAGCCACGTACAAACATAATGATACTTAGTGATATAGTATATATAAGGTAAAAACCCAGGCAAGGAATCCAGGCTGTTGGGATTTAGAATGGCAGTCATGCTCATCTTGCCCTTTGCCATCACTCTGTGTGTGTGTGTGTGTGTGTGTGTAAGAGAGAGAGAGAGAGAGAGAGAGAGAGAGAGAGAGAGAGAGATTATTTTTATTTTTATTATTTTTTATTTTATGCATGTGGGTGTATTGCCTGCATATATGTGAGTGCACCATATCATGCAATGCCACGGAGGGAGGTCAGAAGAGGCCATCCGATTCCCCTGGAACTGGAGTTAAGGATGGTTCGTAGCCGCCATGTGGGTACTGGGAACTGAACCTGGGTCTTCTGCAAGAGCAGTCAGTGCTCTTAACTGCTGAGCCATCTCTCTAGCCTCAACAGATCATTTCTCTACCTGAGAAAATTTCATGTCACTCAGAAATCTTGGACTTTGCATCCCTTATGGGCCTTTAGTTGCCCCCCCGTCCCGGGGCTAAGGGTACCTCTACGTGTGGAAGGAGGGTCATGTAGCTAATCAGGTAGCAGAGGGGTAGACTGAGGCACTGCAGTCTTACAGGGAATCCACTGCCATTTCTCCCAGGACATTTGCTGGCTTTTTTTCTGACTTCCTTGTAGTTAGCTAGGGCCATGCAACTAAGCTTGGTCTACTAGAATGCGAGAGACAAGTGCCACTTCCAGCCTTTCAGTGCTTCAGGCTCTTCCTACTACATGGAACCTGGGTAGGGTGAGCTGACCTGGACAACAAAGGCTGGCCTGGAGATGAAGGCCCTGCAGCTCTGGTCATGTGGAAAGCCAACCCTGGACTACCTGGAAAGGCACTGTGGTTAGGCTCTGTTAGTGCAGCATGGCCTTCCTTAATTAGGGTGCTAGAGAAAATAGGAAAGCCCTGGGGAAAAACCCACACATCCAACAGTAGGGAGGGCTAAGGGAAGTAGGGCATACCCACACAATATCACTATTTCAATAAAAACAACCTGTCAGATGCTTACTGATATGGAAAGATGTCTATGAGGGTTATTGCTATGGAGAAAACAGATTCTTTAAAATTTTTTAAATATATATATTTTTATTTTATATGCAACCATGTCATACAATGCCCATGGAGACCAGAAGAAGGTGTCAGATTCCCCTGGAACTGGAATTACAGATGGTTATTAGCCACCCTATGATGCTGGAACCCAAAACTGGGTCCTTTCCAAGAGCAGCTAGCACTCTTAACTGCTGAGCCATCTCTCCAAGACCAGAAAATAGGTTCTTTATGGGGCAAGAGAGAGGAGAGAGGAAGGAGGTCTGAGGTACAAGGTATTCTAATCTTACCTTGGGTTGTCCAAACTTCCTGAGTTCCTCAAAAGCACCAAACAGACACTTTGCTTTTTGACATCCAGAATCTGGTTGAGGTAGTGGAAGTTCAAACTCTAAAAGCCAAAGTTAAGAGGAATTACCACTTTCAGTCTACTGGGTTACCACTTTCAGTAATACTGGGTTTACATATTGGTACTTGCATATTCAAGAGTGAATGTCTCAGGATAGTTCTTGGCAATTGTTTCTCACTGTCCTAAAATGTTTTATGATGGTTCTTTCAGTTTCTCTGCTAAGCTTGAGCTGTCTGATAGGGTAGCTATGAGACACAGGCACCCATTTGAATGTACTGAGATAAAACAAAGTTGGGTCCTCATCTGTGCTGGCTGCATTTCCAGTGGCCATGGCTATGTGTTACAGAGCATCTCCATCTGGGCAGGGAGGTCGATTGGGTGGTGCTGTTGCAGGCTATTCTGGTCACTTGGTGGTTATCAGGAGGCAGTGAAGCATCATGTGACTAAGAAAAGCATCAAAAAGGAGTACGGGCAGAATTCTGTTAAAGTCCAGAAAAAAGGGTGGCTAATACAACTGCTGACTGACAGATCCTATAAACACAATCTGTAAGGGAGAATGTGACCTGTTGATGTTTCTTAGTCCCTAACTGCTGGGCACCCATGTAATGGCATATGAATTCTAACTATAGGAATGACCTTTACAATATGGACATAACCTAAAATTTTACCTAACTTTGTGACCAAAAAAGCTACTGTTTATAATGTAAACAAGCTTACAGAACCATGTGTTCCTCTTGTGACCTGAGCATAAGACCTTAATCCCTCAGAACCCCTCCTTGCCCACTGTCTGAATGTGGATGTCCATGATTTACAAATCAAAACCCTGATAGCAGCGTGCTTTTCTTATTGCAAACAATGAGAGAAATTCAGAGTGTGTGATATTCTAGGCCTAGGGATCAAAGGGCAAGATTCTCTGATAAGACAAGGGTAGGTCCTGACTTCTACCTCCCCATTTCATGCTCAAGATACTGTTTCAATAAAAGAATGAGTAAGGCCCCTGCTTGGGAGCGCAGTTCCCAGAGACATCTGAAGAACAGGGTCTTCGCAGCTTGGGCCTGCTCTTGGCCTTATGAATGCTAAGAGTCAGGCTGTTTCTTTTTTTGTTTTTGGAAATATTTTTTTTTTTATTATTTTATGAGTGTATTGCCAGCATGTATGTGAGTGCACCCGTGTCTTGCAATGCGGCGGAGGTCAGAAGAGGGCTTCGTATTCCCCTGGAACTGCAGTTAAGGATGGTTCGTAGGCACCATGTTGGTGCTGGGAATCGAACGCGGGTCCTCTGCAAGAGCAGTCAGTGCTCTTAACCACTGAGCCATCTCTCCAGCCCCAGGCTGTTTCTTTTTTAAGCATCACCATGGTGTGGCTTAAAAATGCTGTAATAACCAGCTCTGCTGTCCTGGAGAGATGGATGAGGGTCAGTTGAGAGCCAGAGAGAAAAATAGTGTGGTTGGGGCTGAGGCAGCAAGTGGTGAGGGGAGGCAGAGGTGATGTAGGGTGGAGGTGGCCACAGGGCTTGAAAAAGAATTCATCAGGACTTTACCCTGGAAAGTTGTGATGGTTGGTTTTAAAACTTTTTTTTTAATTTTTTTAATTTTATGTGTATACATGTATTGCCTGTGTGTAGGTAAGTGCACCCATGTTGTGCAATGCCCGCAGAGGACAGAAAAGGTGGTCGGATGCCCTGGAACTGGAGTTATGGACAGCTGTTAGCTGCATTTTATTTATTATTTTTATTTTATGTGTATGTGTGTATTGCCTGCATGTAGGTAAGTGCACCTGTGTTGTGCAATGCCTGTGGAGGACAGAAGAGGCCATTGGATCCCCTGTGACTGGAGTTATGGACACTTGTTAGCTGCCATGTAGGTGCTGGGATTCGAGCCCGGGTCTTCTGCAAGAACAACCAGTGTTCTCAACTGCTGAACCATCTCTCCAGCCCTGTGATGGAGACTCACTTGGGAAACTGTCTTAATTGCTTTAATAATGTGGGAAGACTTACCCCAAATGTAGGCAGCACCTCCCGCTCCCATATATCAGCCCAGATAAAAAGGGGCATGGTAGAAGGAAAATTATTTGCCATTTGCTGGCTTCACCTTCTCTCTTGCTGCTGAGTTAATTTATCCTGTTGCTGCTCCTGTTTCTTTCACTGATACCAGAACCAGCATTTCCAGACTTCCAACACTGGCTCTCCAGGACCCTCCAGATTTTCAGCACCAGATTGGGACTGCTGAGGCACCAGGACCATGGACTAAGCAACCACTAGGTTCTCAGCCTCTCACTGTGAAACAGCTCCTATGGGGATACTCCGACTACTGAGACACCCCCCGTCCCCACCCCAGCCTCAAAGTGCAAGCAGCTATCAAGTTCTCAGCATCTCAGGTGTAATTCAGCTGGTGTTACTATTTTGAAGTAAGCTGATTAATATATTTACATATGTATATTTTCATTCTATCAGTTCCGTTCATCTAGAGAACCCTGACTAATATAAATTGTGGTACTGGGAGTAGTTCTGGAGAAACAGAATTGTAAGGATGAATTTCTCTGTTGGGCTTGGTGGTATCTGAGTTGGTTCTCCAGTTCAATGAAATCTACAGTTACTAAAGACTTCTCTGGTACCATAGAGAGATAGGCAAGCCCATAGTGTGAGCTATTTTAAAGAACTATGCAAGACAAATGCATTTGTTGCTTCTGATTCGCCTCCTGTGAGAAGCAGGAATGTAATAACTCTGCTTTGAATATTTGTGGAAAGATAAGGAAAATAGTGTTGCTGGTTGATTCTTTTTAGCATCTTGGAAAAAGTAACAAAGGAAACAAATGATCAGCTCCAGATGCTCATAAACAATCTAAAAGTTTCTAAGTGTGCCCTGGAAGAGAACCTTTTTTCTAGCAACCACAGAGCTGAAGATTTCAGAAAACTAAATGCAAGTCCCCATTATAAGTTTGATAAATTTACAATGCAAAAGTAATTCATAGTCTTGAAACATGTCAGCAGTTAAAGTGAGGGCACTGAGTGGGAAAGAGTGGGATCCTGTGACTGGGGATGGAGATGTGTGAGAGGACCTTAAGGAGGTTGAAGGCACTGCATCCTCAGATTCTGAGGGGCTCATTCCACCTGAGGAAGTAATTTCCCCATCCTTAGGAGAGGATGCATTCCCACTCCACCTCCTGCAGCATTCCTCTCTCTGCCCTTGCCTGAGGGAATTAATCCTGCCTCCTCTGTAGAACAAAGACTTTCTCTAAAGCAGAGTTCAGCTGAAACAATACTGATCCATCATTGTCTCTACAGCTATCACTTCTATAGGGTCTGTACCCTGATTATTCCTCTTCAGGGTCTGGAATAAAGGGAAGTCCTATAAAACTTCCAACTATAAAGAGATTCTTATTCTGCAAACAAGTCTTTCCACCAAAAGAGACCCTTATTGGAACAATGTGGGCCCTAAGCCCTTTACAAATGCCCCTACCCAACCCCATGACTCTATTTCTGCATATAAACATACTTGAACTCCCCTACTACTTGACTGCTGCTGATTCCTGCCCATCAGCTAGCCACCCCTCATTGGCTATAATAAATACCAATTTGGATTGTTGAGTTTGGTTGCTTTCTTTTCTACCTGTGACTCCTATTCCCAACATAACTAGCATAACTAAATTCAAGGCTAAGTAGGCCCCCTGAAGGTGAGGTTGAAAGTATTGTGTGTGTGCGTGTGTGTGTATGTGTGTGTGTGTGTGTGTGTGTGCGTGTGTTTACTACAACCCTAAGAAACTTAATGAGTGTTTTGTTTGTTTGTTTTAGACAGGGTCACCCTGTAGCCACAGCTGGTCTGGTCTGAAACTCCTTATGTAGACCAGGCTGCCCTTGATCTCACAGAAACCTGTCACCCAAGTGCTGGTATTAAAGATGTGCACCACCATGCCCAGTCTAATACATTTTAAAAAATTATTATTTTTATTTTATGTGTAAGAGTGTATTGCCTGCATGTGTGTAAGGGTACCCATGTTGTCCATGTTGTGCAATACCTGTGGAGGTCAGAAGGGGGCACCAGATCTCCTGGAATTGGAGTTACAGATGGTTGTTAGCCACCACGTGGGCCGTGCTGGGGACTGAACCCAGGTCCTCTGCAAGAGCAGTTAGTGCTCTTAACTGCTGAGCCATCTCTCCAGCCCGTTAATAAATTTTTTTAATTCATTCAAGCAGAAGACTGGAGAATATGTGTGGGAATGGATCTGAAGGGTGTGGGATAATGGTGGAAGGAACATAAGACCGGATCAGGCTAAGTTTATGGATTTGGATCACTGAGCAGCAGAGATTTTAGATTTAATATTGAAGCTCACATAAAAGTTCCAAGAGTTTATTTGATTGGTTGGTTGAAGTATTTGTCAAAAGATGGCCTACTGAGAAAGAGAAGGAGATGCCTGATATCCCTTAGCTTAGTGTTGAAGGGATTTTAAGGCTCAGGGAAATTGGAATGCTGGAGTAGATTTGCTGCATAAAACCTAGTCTGCTACAATGGGAGGGTCCAGAGGACATGCAATTCACTAGTACTAGAAGACACAAAATAGTGAGAGGGGCACTACACATTTAAAGAGCTTGTTACTGCTTGTCTCCTCATGTCAGTTCTCAGGGTGGGAGATGCTGCTACTCAACTGGATGAATTAAATGTGATGGGTTTTATTGAACCCAGCGTAGCAGGGGCCAAGTGGCATCATAGGAATGAAGAGGAGAACTAATATTCATTGAGAAAAAACCCAGAGCAGGTAACCTGGGAAACCAGCCCTCCTGCTGGCTTAAGAAAACAGAATTCAATTTCCTAAGTCAACCAGTCTCTAGTTTGCTTGAGAAAACAAGCACATGCTTAATCTTTACTTTTGCAAACACACTTCCTCCTTGGAATTCCAACTCATGGTTCCCCACCCCCCTTTTTAAGACCTGTAGGGTAGAGAGAGACCCCTGTGCATGATCCATAATCATGTAGGCTGGAAGGCCCCATGACCCTGGTGCCCACCAATGTAAGAGCAGGTCTGAGATGATGTTGAATTACCTACAA